CATGGATAGACAGTGTCTATACCAAAAAGTGTGTCAACACTGAGAAGCATGTGTCTGTATCAACAGCTATGTGTTTACACAAAGCACACAGTAGCAGGACAGGTACCGTCCATGCTGGACCGTATATGTCTATACTTACACATGCCTGATGGTGTGTGCACACACGGTTGGTCAGTGTCCACACTGGCAGAGATGTGTCTATACCAAGAAGGGTGTCAACACTGAGGAGCATGTGTCTGTATCAACAGGTATGTGTCTACCCTGACATGCCATGTCTACACTGACAGACACGCATCCATCCTGACTAGCAGATTTCACACCAGTGGCAGAGTAACTACTTGAATGAGGGAATCAGAGAGACTTGGGGTACAAGCTTGATTCATACACTCTAGCCCAGGCAGAATCACTCCCCAGGCTGGCACTGTCTTATGGTGGAAACATGGCTATGGATAAACATGCCTGCATCTTGAGGCTCACATCCAGGAAGGATGACTGGCACAGCTGACTCAAAGGATGCTATGCAGTCACAGATTGCAAGAATACTACATAGGGGTGAGGTAGCTTGCAGGAGATAGCCCCAGAGATCAAGTCCCCAGGATGGATGCCTGGAGGGTGGACTTGAAAAGTTGAGGATGCCAGAGATGAGAGAGCCACACCCTCAGCTTGCCTCTAGCTGAAACACACACACACACACACACACACACACCAGTTCCCACTGTAAGCTGAGATGCCCACCAGAGCGTTTGGTTCCCGAAAGGAATCAGAGCTATTTTTTTTTGACTATCAAAACCTTACTGTCCCTTGAGGATGGGATTCTGTGTGGTTCACCCATTTCTCCAGTGCTGAGAACAACTCTGGCATCCCACACATCTAGATCTGTAGAGCCCAAGTCAGAATCTTCTTCAGGAAGAGTTGCTCATACTGACACAGGTCTACAGCCAACAGAGAAAAGTGAACAGTTGATTGAGAGATGTAGAGCCAATAGAGGAAAGTGGGCCATGGGCATTCTCTCCCATCCATCCAGCGGCCTGCCCCACCCACACCCCCGCGAAGTTAACTGCAGGTCAGTGTTGAAACATCACCCAACTGCAAAGAAGGTTATCTATAGTTATGAGAGATAACTCATCTGAGCTCTCCTTGGCTGGTTGGGGACAGACAAGAGAACTGGCCCTGGAGGGCTGGATGTCACTCAAGGCCACCTGGCTGCTGCAGCTGCCCACAACATCGACCCAGAGTGGGCGATGCTAGCATAATAAAACACATAGACTTGAGAATGCGCTCTCCTGGCCACTCTGCCCGTCTTGATCAGACCACATTGACCAGCATTCCATAGTAGACCCAGCATTTTACACAGGATGCTGAGGCACTGGCACACATCCAGACAAGGAGAGGCAGGAGGCATGTCCTGCCAAGCCTTGCTGGAGAACTGGGCATGTGGACACAGAGGCCTGGACAGATGGTTCATGGCTTGGTTGCCTCACTGGTGCTTATGGTGCCAGACAGGAGCCAACCACACAGCCTTGTGATTGAGAGCAGGCAGCTAGTTTTTAAAATAAGCTTCTGGAACTTTTTTCCGCTCATCCCCCCCTCCTCGGCTGAGACATTTTTACATGACTGTGGGTATATAATTTTACAAAATAGGTATATAAATCAAACAGTTATGGATAATAAATGACAACTTTATTTTTAAACAATTCATTACATATATCATCTTACTATCTATTAAAGAGGAAATCAAATGTGGGTGCAAATGAGAAAAGTGTGCTTCTAACTTAATCCAATCCCAAGGTACACAGATTTGATACTAAAATATTGTCCTAGTCTCGTTCCTATGACTGTGACAAAAATACCCTGACCAAAACCACCTTGAGGAAGGCTGAGTTGTAGCTCAGTGGTAGAACTTTGTCTAACAGTCCGGAGGCCCAGATTTCACTTCCCACTGTTACAAAAACAAAACCCAACTCAAAGGGAAAGGGGTCTATTTCAGCCCACAATTCCAGGTTACAGGTTTCCCATAGCACAAAAGCCAAGGCAGCAGGCACTTGAATCAGCTAGCCTCACCATTTCCGCAGTCAAGCGTGGAGAGAAGTGAATGCAGAATGCATGAAGGCTTTTAGGGCTTGGCTGGCTCATTCTATCCCTATCACTTCCGGACTCAAACCTAGGGAATGGTACTGCCCACAGTGGGCTAGGTTTTTCCCGTATCAGCCAGGGCAACCAAGACAGTCTCCAATAGGCATAGGTACGGGCCAGCCTGATCTAGACAGTCCCTCATAGAGACCCTCTTCCCAAATGATTCTAGATTTGTGTCAAGCTGACAAAACAACCTGCAGAAGAACGATGGCAGGAAAATATTGAGATGTTGTTTTCCATACTTGAACCATTATGTGAGGGCCCACAGCTTTGCATGTACAGTGAAAGTTAAACATACAGTTCCTGAAATCTGAAGTAGTATGTTTCAGGCAGTGTTGGGTAGTATGACGGCCTGTGGAGTGCAAAGGGTTCGTGTTGGATGTGAAAGGTCAGAGCTGCGTTGATGTCTGAGATGCAACACAGGTGAGTGTTAACAGACATACCTTGGGTTTACTAGTGTTTTGGTTTTAAGTTAACTTTGGGCAACTTCTCCATGACCCACACATTCAGTCATACATCCCCAGATGGAGTATGGACCCACGGTTTAAGAAGGATTCCTACAAATACTGCCAGCATTAAAATGACACTTGCATCTTAATCGATGTGATTACATCATGTTAGAAGTGAGTCAGAGATGGTTCAGAGTACACAGGAGGGAATGGGTGGGTATAAGCAAACCCTGCATCTGTGCATACAAGGGATATGAGCTTCCACAGATTTTGACATTGGATGGGGGTCTGGGAACCAATCTCCCAAAGACACTAAAGATGACTATATTTAATAACAGACAGCCTTCGTACTGAAACAGGAAGTGGCTTCCTACCAGAAGTCCTCAAGGCTATCCAGATCCATCTATGACCATGTCTTGGTAGAAATCCCCATTGGGGTTGTGTCTGGACTGGACAGTGCTACCCTGCACCCCGTTCACATTTGCTGGCCTGGTACTGACCCTTGTGGTCAGAAGTCTTCCAAGTGGAACAGAAGCACCTGGGCTTCCGGGTCTTCTGTGGTGCCTCGGGACTCAGCTACTTGATGTTTCCTTCCATGTGACACATTGGAGGGCCCATCAAGACTAGGCACCATTGGGCATAAGGACTGGGCACAGCTGGTAGGATGGGGGAGCTGGAGGAAGGCGACATTCACTGAGAAGAGCCATCACATGAAGGTGGCTATGGAGAAAGCAAGAGGTGTGGTTGTGAGTGTGTGTGTTTATCCTTGGCCCCATCAAGCCTGAAACTAGGCTCTCTGAACCTCTCCACTACAGAAAGCAATGCACTCTGCTAGTTGAAGCTGCCTTTCTGTCACTTACAGGATAAGTCTGCCCAACTCTACTGCTCACTTCTTCCATGCTCCGGCATGAGTGGGATGTCATGAGTGGAAAGAGAAAGCACCCATCACATAGTTCCAGCATGGTCAGGAGGATCACCGCCCCATGGACATACATATGACTTGGAACTTTCTCTGTTGCCCAAACCACACCAAAGAGGACCTAATGCATGGATGTCTGCCCTCTCTGACTTCCTCCTCATGCTCCATGCTGATTCCTGCTCATTCTCGGCAGCCCAGAAAGCACTGTCTCCCATCTCCAGCTCCTGACTATCCTCTTTGGTGATTGAAGCTAACTGGCCTATGTTTGTATTGAAGGTTCATCAATTATACATGAATCAAAGGGCATAGAAATGGGGGTTCAGAATTGAGCCGAGGGCTTGAGGAAAAAAATTCCAGAAGAAAATTCTGGGCAGACTTCTGGAAATAGGAAGAGTGGATGCCGGGCAGAGTAGATAATCTGTGAAAATGGGCGTGATGATGTCATGACCTTTGGACTGATCATGTTGTATGAGTCTCCTCTTGTCTATCTGTGCTGCCTCTGGAGCAGGGGTAGGCACCAGGGCAGACAGCAGACCCAGGCCCCAGAAACCTTTCTCATTCCCTGGGTGGTTTGTATTCATAACTTTCCCAGAAAGCCCTGGCTTTGTCAGCCTTCTTGGTACCAGATAAGGACATCAGCCCCTGGGGCGTGGAAGCCTACTCTTCCCCCAAACTTAGGACACTTTCCTTTCTGTGATTCTAGGGAATACCTTGGTCAAGATCAAGGGTTTGATAGCCTGATACCCATTTGCCTGCCCCCTTCTAATAGAGCAGGAAGTGTCCTGGCACACCCAAATGCTGGAGCAGGTGGCTCTACTGTGCTGGGGGTTACAGAATATTGCTTCAGCAATTGGGATGCCACCATGGGCATCGGGAAACTGCCCACTTAGGAATAATAGGAAGCTTCAGTAGATTCTGGGTACAAGAACGTGGCTATGTAAGACACGGGAAAGACCCCTGTGGCTTATTTGGAGATGGAGTGGTGCTGATGGAGGCCTAGGTGCTACCTGTATGAATACCCATGCAGCTTGGTAGGGGTCACCCGACCCTGGAGCTGTGGGGTGGGCCCTGCAACAGTTTTCTCCCTTTCTTTTGTTCCCTGGGGCATCCACCTGAAGACAGACACATGGCAAAGGCAAAAGAAAAGAGCCACTTGCCTTCTTCTCCATTCTTTTGCTCCTCAAGCTACCCCAGGAGGTTTCCTAAACAAGGACCCCTGATTTGTGTGGCACCCCCACTGACTCGCCTAGAGTTGCGCTGGCCCAGCCCTTGTTGCGGGGTCTCTGTATTGGGGTTGCCAGGATCAGGTGGTAAGACCCAGGTAGAGGCCTAGCCGACAGCTCCCAGTCCAAGGCATCCTCCAGCCTCTCTGCAACAGGAGCAAAACAAGAGCACGCGCACCTGTCGGCGTCCCGCCCCTTCCGCGCCGGCCAATCGTGAACCGGGGCGGGGCCAGGGCGCAGTCGGAACCCGCGCCGAGCACCGTCGTGGAGCTGGAGCAAGCGCAGCCTCGTTCCTGCAACCTCTTCCCCGCCGCCCGCAGCCTCCACCCCGCCGCCGCCACCACCACCACCACCACCACCACCACCACCGCTGCTACCGCCGCCGCCCCCGGGGCATGGCCTGTCTGATGGCCGCTTTTTCGGTCGGCACCGCCATGGTGAGTCGCACATCCTTTGCACTCGCGGCTGGGGTTTAGGGAAACAGGAAACACAAAACCCCCCGCACACTGGTCTTCACACCAACCGCCTAGGAGCGCGTCCTCTGGGCGCTGACCCGGGCGCCCTGGAGAGGTGCCCTGCTCCGCTCGCCTCCGCCCCGGCCACCTGGAGCATCAGGGTGCTTCTGCACTGGCTTAGGGCGCCAGGAAGGTGGAGGAACCCGGAGTGGGGCGCGGGGCAGCTAGCAGCCTCACAAGTGGACAGATGGCCTTGACTTGTCTGCCTCTGGGTGAGGGGCTCGGGGCGTTGGGGCGCACAGGGAAGGGATGCCGACCTAGCCCGAGGGTAGGGAGAGTCGGATCTCCCTGGGGAGTTCTGAGGGGCAGGCAGGCGACGGGGACTTCTTGCGCCACCCTCCGGAGCACTGGGCATAGTGGGGGACAAAAAGAGGAGCTGTGCCCCACGAAACAGACCCTCTTCTCCTGCGCTCCCCAGGGACAGCTACTTTCAGAGGAAGCGGCAGAGTCCTAGGGGAAACAGAGGAGGGCGATCCCTGCAGGGGTGAGGACAGGGTGTGGGCATTTACTCCCCCATTCCCACCCCCCCTCCAGGTACCAGTCCTAGGGCAAAAACCGGGTGCTACTGAATTAATTGCTAGACAAGCTCTGTTCCCAGAGGTGGGGAAGCGTCTCCTCTTTCACGGTCCCTCAGTGCACCCGGAAAAAAAGCGAACATAACAATAAAAACCACAGCCCACCACCAGTCTGGTCTCACACTTGGCCCTACCGGCTCCGCCTAACACGCGGACGTTGCGGATAATATCCTCTTAAGCTGATTTCAGACTGTGTGGAGTACAAACAGCTAGCCCTCCGTATTCCCACCCGGATCATCCCTTTCTGTGCTTCCCAGCTCTGTTACTAGCTTGCCTGCGCCTTCCCATACGCTGGAAACCCACATCGCACAGTCCCTCCCCTTTACTTCATTTTTAGCATCCTGTATTTGAAGTCAGCAAGGCTCAGTAGGATTTGACCGACAGTTACCTCTTGCCTTGAGCTCTAGAGGGAAAAAAAAAGCACCAGGCTTTGTGCGCATGCTCTGCTCTGACAACTGCATCCGATGATTCCAAACAGGTTACTGTAGAATTCTCCTCGAGCCCAGCCCGCCGACTCATTATGTAATGATTTTGTGTAAACCGACAGAGTGGAGCGAAGATGCTCTGGAGTGGTGGTTAGCAGGGGGTCGGGTGAGGCAGGGAGGAAGACCCCCCAAGCTGATTCCCAACCTTGAGGTGTGTGCTCTGGTTCTGACACACGTCAGAATCAATGAGAACAGGAATCGCTTCTCCTCAAGATACTCTCTTTTATCTAGTGGCTGTCTTGGGTAACACTGAAAAATTGCCCCTTGAGCGTTTATCTATCAATGTGGGGATTCTGCTGGCAATGGAAAGTTAAGCTAATTGATGATCGTTGCAAATAGAGGAAGTTTGGTGGCTTCCCTCTGCCTGGGACATGCCGTCATTTAGAACTGGCTTGAACTTGTGGATAAATGAGCCAGAATGCCGAAGGATACAGGTTTTTATGCTGATTTATAACGTTATGGTTTGATACAGCCTGGACCTCTGCTGTAAGGTTACAGATATCATAATGGCTGGGCTTATTTTTTTTTTAATTCCCCAAGAAATCTATTGATATATTTGAAAAGAATCTTCTTCCTGGAAACCTGGCACTTTGGTTTTAATTTTAAGATATCCATCTGCCTGTGGTCATACCTCTCTGGATCCATCGATCTTGCCTAATCTTGGACACCAGACAGGACCAGCCTGGTGGGACCTGGCTGGGAGTAAGAGGTGGCAATGACTAGGAATACCAGGTGCTACTGGCACAAGTCAAAGACCAGGCTATTTTTTTTTATTGTTCTATCTCAGTTATAACAAGACTTCAAGATTTGCTTTTAGTCTCCTCTGCCCTGAGGTCCTGCCATGCTGGCTGAGCGAGCTACAAGTCTGGAGAGAGCCCTGAAGGGCGGCCAGAGCTCCAGGAGTACTAGGGTCCTGAGGTTGCAGGGCCACAAAAGGTGGGCGTGTGTCTCCAAGAGATGTAAGACTGCAGCTTTGTGACCCTGTGAGTGGTCACTCAAGTGTAACCTGCCCTTTAAGCTTAGCTTGGGTTGTGACATTTGGACACTTTTCCTGTGGGGAATTGCTTTGATTATGGGTTAGCGTAGTTTCTTCTGATGTGCCCAGGATGTCCTGAAGTGCCATCTAGGTGAGCGTCGTAGTTGGCAGCAAGGGAGCACAGAGAGAAGAGAAGCCACCCCTGCCCCAGGGTGCTGAGAGAAGTTCCTGTCTCTGGATGCCTCCCAGTGAAGGGGTCTCCCAGTGGGTGTGGCTTGCTGGCTGCATGTGACCTCCTTCCCACTACTCTGGTGTCCCCAGATGCCTAGCATCCACGCAGCCCTCACTCTCCATACCCTACCCCCGTGCCGAGGGAAGCGTTCTCTTGTGCAGCCCCCAGCAACAGTCCAGACAGAGTCCCCTCTGCACAGAATCCCCAGGAATGGACTTCCTGCCTTCACCATCTGTTCTGTCAGCAAAACACATTCCACAAGAAGAGGGCACAGTGTCCAGACGGGAAGGCAGGGGAACAGACCAGCCAATGGAGAGCGCAGGAGGGAATAGGTGTTTGCTTTATTTTTAATGAGCTCAGGAGGCTGAGGCAGAGCTCGCAGTAACCTACATTGCTAGCTAGCCGCTCTCTTCGGAGGCTGTGTTTCCAGAGAGCTGGTCTATTTTGGAGTGACAGGCCACTGCCTCATCACATCAGTTTTTATGATTTTATTAATTGGGTGAGGCCACTGGACACCAGTGGAGGAAGGGTGGGGCCAGTGTCCTTGCTGAAGGGGGATGGGGCAGGGAGAGGCTGCCTGAGTTCCTGTTTGCTGTGCCGGTTACTCTAAAGGACAGTTTGGCCAGCACCCATGCTGTATAGAGTGAGCAGTGCTCAAATGGCTGGGTGAGAGAAGACAAGGATCCGAACCCCTTCTGACTGAGAGGTTCTGAGCTAGATGGCTCACCTTGCTGCTTTCCTGCCCCCCCCCTTTCAAACTGGAGTTGCCCCTACCCGCCCCATGCTGTGCAAATGCTAAGAGCACAGGCTACAGGCTGGAGTGGTCTGAACACACTGAATCTTAGCCACTGCTGTTTACAGCCACTTGCCTAGCAAGTACAGGCACGTGGTCTCGTTCTTGAGCACTTCACATCCTAAGTAGCTGACTCTGGCTTCTTCCTCCCTCGCTACCACTGCCGATTAAGTACCCCCCATCCCTAGCTCTGCAGGTGATTGCTTTAGCCTTCTGAGCCTGGCACGCCAGGTCAGAGAGAGACCCCACTGATCTTCATAATTTCTTTCTAGAGTTTGTCTCTCTCATTTCGTCTATGCCAAGTACCCTACTTCCTGCCTTCTCCCACACTGCACCCCATAACTCACATTCCAGATATAGGTCTACCTCTCCGTGGTCCATGCTCCCTGTTCACAGAGGCCCCCTGAAGGGATCATGGTACACACAACCCAGCCCCCACAACCCAGCCCCCATCTCATCTCACTGATCTCAGCCTGGACTATTTCTGCAGACATTGTTCTGGGCTCCCACGCCAGGGTCTGGTCTGCATCTAATGTGCCTCCATGGCCTTTACTTAATCTTGTTGTGATGGCTGCTTTCTTCCCTAGACTCAGTCTTGAACTTGAGCTTGTGAGGGCCTGAGTCCGTGTCTGTGTCTGGCTAGTCACAGACACTGTCGGTGTTCAGTCTGTCAAGGGAATGGACGTGTGCATTTAGAGTCCGGGGAGAAGGCCGGGATGTTGGCCTGATGCTTGTCTGATATCTGCCACAGCCCGTGGGTGGGGTGATGGCTGTGAGCCCCCCCCCCCTTGTTCCTGCGGCTTTCAACAGGAAAGGAAGCAACAATCCCTTCTTGGCTTCCTTGGGGTTGGACACCTATGATGGGGGTCTGTGGAGAGGGAGAAGGAGGGATTACCCACAGCAGCTGGAACCTAAAGGTAGAGTTCGTGAGCCATGATCGAGAAGGGCTATCCCCCTCTCTCAGGGTTGGAGCCAAGCTTGTGGTACTTCCTCTTCATGACAAGGTAGGGTGGGAGGGACCTGGCCTCGGCTGACTGCCTTGTTGGTGCTCCATAGGACACCCTAGCCCTGAAGCCAGCACCTGGTGCTTCCCAGGCTCCTCCATAGCCCTTGTGGTTATAAACCTGCCATGGCAGTGGATGGGTCTCGGGAAGGTCCCTGTGCCTGCTGGTAGGTTCTGAGTTGCATGGGTGCATTCTTGCAGGACCACAGAGCTATAACAGAGTGACCTATCTCTACAAGAGCCCTGTCAGGGAAGGCACCTGATGAATATCCACAGAGGCTGTCTGGGAGGCTCTCCACTGGTCTCTGTGGGTCTCAGCACAGCCATGGTTCTGGGCACATATGAACTCGCTTTTATTGGTACTGAAAGGAGCATCCATGCTCCATACCTGCTGCCCCGAGCTAGATTTCAAGGATTCCCTCCAGCCTTGGTTTTCATTCACCCGGTAGGCATGTCAGTGAGAATTAGGAGATGCTCATGAAGGTGAGTGCATGTTTGTGGTTCTCATAGCTTTTTCTGAAGTGCAATCTCCTTTTTCCATCACCAACAGCTCCTGAATCCCTGGGTCTACCTCTCTCATACCCCATTTGTATTAAATATACAACCCCCGAAGCTTACCACTAGACTCTGAACCCCCAAATGCCATGATAGTAAACCCAGCTCTTCTATGACTTAATTGCACGTTTTTTGTGGGTGGAGGGGTTGAATTGCTGGGCTTGTAGAGATTTTTGTTGTTGGGTCATTTGCTTTTCCTTAAGGTAGGGTCTTGTGTAGCCAGGCTGGCTTCAAACTCACCACACGGCAGAGAATTAGTTTGAACTTCCAGCCCTCTTTCTTCCACTTCCCAAATGCTAGAGTTAAAGGGTGCTCTGGAGAAACCTAGGGGTTTGTGCACGCTAGGCAAGCATATCCAGCCAACTGAGTCACCTCCCCATCCCTTTGTGAGACTTTCTGCAGATAATCCACTATAGCTCTATTTTTTTTTAAGAAATAGTAGTAAATAATAAGCAATCTTAGAGAAATAGCTAGTAAACTAACAGAAGAAGAATGGCATGTCTGTCCTCTCTAGAACAGAGGACACCAGCAGTGCCTCACCAGTCCTGGGGTAGTCGGTAGCTTTGGTGACCAGAAGAGGTGAGGGGTGGGCTTCCCACTCCCACCCCTATTGGTTATCAGCAGCTGGCTGAGTCTGCAGAAGGCTCGTACTTTTGGACGTTCCCCCTAGCTTCAGGAGACAGCTAGAATCACTTTAGAACAACTTGTCCCCTCAGGACTCTGCTGCTGCGTTTGGAGGTTCCTGAAGCATATTGATCAGGCCAGGGCGGCCAAGCCATTAGAAAAGCAAACCCCTTGCTTTGCATAAATACTCCTGGGTCTTGGCCTACCTGCTATATGCATTTGGTGCCTTGCAAAAGGCTTTAAAAGCTAAAGTTTTGGGCTCTGCATATAATAGAGAGTTGCAGCACTTGTCTGTAGCCCTACTCAGCTAGCTGCACGGTGCCTTGGTAATATAGGAAGCACCTCACTGTGTTTTAAGTCATCTGTGCCTCAGTTTCTCTGCCTCCGGCCCTCCAATAGTATTAGGAAGATACAGTGGAGTGAAATTACAAGGGATCTAGAAAGTGTGACAGTAAAATGCGGCCAGCCCCCACACACCAGGACTTTAGTAATGCTGCCCTAGCCACGTCAGGAGATGACACAGGAACATGTGACAACAGCTTGCTCTAAATATTTAAGCCGGTGTCAGTTGTACCTTCTTCAGAGCCTCGTGTGTCTTCACTGAGGTTTTTGAGTAGACCAGAAAGAAGCGACTTTCCATGGTAACTCCTTCCCTTCTTCCTAGAGGAAAATGAGTTACTTTGGGAAGTTTTATGATCAGATTTTGTGATCCTGAAGGAAGACTGTAGGTGTGTTTAGCCTCTTATCTTCGGTGTCCTTTTTACTAGAAGCAAGAGTGATGGTTAGCTGGGACAATTCCTGCAGGTGGCCTCTCTCTCCTCTGGGGACAAAGGTACTCTCCAAGTTTAAAAAGTATCCCTATGGATAATCGATGACCCTGAGCCCAGCGGCAGGTCTCTTGATGCTCTTTCTCCCCAGAGAGCACATAACGCATCTTACCACATCCGCTTTGCTTCCTAGAATGCCAGCAGCTACTCTGCAGCGATGACGGAGCCCAAGTCCGTGTGCGTGTCGGTGGACGAGGTCGTGTCCAGCAACGTGGACGATGTCGAGACAGATCTGCTAAACGGTCATCTGAAGAAAGTGGACAACAACTTCACAGAGGCCCAGCGCTTCTCCTCCTTGCCTCGGAGGGCGGCTGTCAACATCGAATTCAAGGACCTTTCCTACTCCGTTCCCGAGGGACCCTGGTGGAGGAAGAAAGGTAGGGAAGGAAGTCATTGACTTGGTGCTGGTGCTTGGGGAGAGCCTGTGAAGGAAGCCACAGCGTGTTTGGGGAGAGTCTCGGGCTGCAGTTGGAAGGCTGAGATATGTTCTTGATGCAGCCCTGCCTTGGCCAGTTTCCTTTCACTGATGCACAGCCCACTTCTCTCTTGTGAAATCTAACACAAGTTATATTAGACAGTCTCAAAGTCACAGTGGCTCTAAACTTTGATGATGTTGGTACAGATTGAGTGTCCCTTGTTGGAATGCTGCTGGTTGCATATATATTTTGGATTTAGACAATATGTACATATCCATAATGAGGTACCTTGGGGACAGGAGTCAAATGTGAACATGACAGTCATCTGTTTCTTGGACAATTTAGGGATATATACACCCGAAGGTAATTTTATGCATTTTTCTCACGCGATCTATATTTTGGTTGTGAGTTGTCACACTCAGTCATATGGAAATTTCCACTGGTAGTGCTCAGAGGAGTGAGTTCCAGTACCTTGGATTTCCAGTATTGGGGCCTGGATAAAGAACTGCACAGGGCTCACCCAGCAGCAGCTTTACTTGTTGCTAGCGTGGGTTTGTGCTCTGAGGGGCCTCCCTAAAGGATGCTCAGCTTATGCCCGTCTTTCAGGGTGGAATTGCTCTCCAGCCATTCAGAGAAAGTGTATGTTGCCTCCCAACACTCAGTTGTTCAAGAGCATTCCATGGTCTGGCATGGCCTTCCTGGGAGGATTCTTCAGTGTGTGGTGCTGGTGAACTGTGTCCATTAATGGGAAAATGGAGCCTCGGAGGCCTCTGGAGCACCATATGGTGAGGGACCCTGTCTATGCTGAAGGAGCTTGGGTGCACACGCCTTTTTTGGCTCGTTCTTGGCTCCTAGTCTAGCCGTCTGTTTGTAGGGGGTAGCCATGGAACAGACCAGGCATTCCCTGCCAGCCACTGAATCACCTTGTACAAATCAGAAGTCAGAAAGGAACTTCGGACATCCAGAGTACATCAGGTGCCACTGGAAGACCAGTTTGGGGAGGGAGGGGTTGAAGGGAGGAACTCTTAAATATTGGCACAACCTTGCTTTTTAAGAGGGCTAAGTTGGAGCCTTTTCATGGTTTTCATCTTCTCCTCTTTCTTTTCTTCCCTTGGTTTTGTTTTTCTACCTCTTGAAGCTAAGCCTGTGAGATCATTTGCAGGGGCAATCTGGTCTCGGTGGTAAACAAAATTTTGGAAACTTGAGAAGTCAATGCCCAGGACCTCTGAGCTCCTTGGTTATGAACGATTATGTCTGGGTTTGCACAACCAGGGAACAGGCCCTGTCCCCTCTCGAGGGCTGATTGTAGGGCATGTTACCTGACACCCACATTCCCAGATGTTGGCCTGTTTTGTTAAGAAGGAAACTGCACCGGGCTCGGCCATAAGCCCATTCTGTGGAGCCTACTGGAATGACAAGGGAGGGATATACAGATTTTACAGAAAAATGTACGAAGTGGGCCTCGTTGGTTAATGCAGGTAAATCGTGGCAGACCTGTGAGACACACAGCGAGCTCTGTGAGTGGCCTTGGAGATGCTGTGGTGGGGGTTGGAAACCCATGCTGTAGGTGAAGGCAGTTTGCCATGGGGCGGTTCGGATGTGTGAAGCCTTGGGCGTGCATCACTTTTCAAAGTACCTGGCAGAAAGAACTTAAGGAAGAAGGGGTCTGTGTGGGCGCACAGGTCCAGGGGATAGCCCACCATAGCAGAAGTCAGGACGGCAGGAGAATGAGGCAGCTGGTCAGTTGTGCCCACAGTTAGGAAGCAGAGAGAGATGAGGGCTTGTGCTCACTCTCTTTCTCCTTTTCATGAAGTCCAGGACCCCAGCCCATGGAACAGTGCCTCCCACATTTAGAGTGGGTCTCCACACTTCCATTAACACAGTCTAGGTAATCAGTCACAGAAGTGCCCCGACACTTGTTGCGATGGTAGTTCTAAATCCTAGCAAGCCGGCATTTGATGAACCATCGCAGCGTCTTGAGTTGAAACCCAGCACAGAAATCTTGACCCAGGAGGGGCAGCTCCCCCCGTGCTGTTTCCACCTCACGTCCTCTGATGGTGAACAGGTCACATTCACCTTCAGAGTCAGCCAGCAAGAGTGCATCCTCAGTGCCTTCATGGACATTCAGTCAGGTGGCCACTTGCCCTGTAGTAACCTCTGTGGGTTCAGGCATGGGAGGAGTCTGAACGCGAGCCCTGTGGGACTTGCCCATGAGTCAGAGGGGATGACAGACACGCTCCGTCTGGTGTGTCCCTGTTGTTGGTTGCTCAACCAGCGAGGTGTGGCTTGCTGACCTCTTCCATAGCTCCCCTTTTCCTCCCCTGCAGTGGCATCACTGAGGGGCCCTCCCCACCGTGTGCCTTGTCCTTCCCTACAGCTCAGAATCTATATGCCTTGGCATGTCAGCATGAAGCTGAAATGGAAAAGAAGACCCCATCTTCTTCTCATTGAGTACGGGGGCAGCTAAGGCAGAGAGTGGTTAAGGGGCTTGGCCCTGACTCCTGATCTAGAGAGAAGTGGTCCGGAGACCACGGTGGTGATTGCGAACTCTGTGAAGCCCAACATGGTGGCCAGGCCTTGCCTTGTTCTGAGCCATCTGGGTCTTCTTCCTGCAGCCAGCAGGGAAATGGGGCTCTTCCTGGAGGCTGGGGGTCCCTGGGAAATAGTCTGGTAGAGCTGCAGGCAGGAAAGCCGGTCATTTGTTCTGTCAGCTGTGAATGACGAGAGCTGCAGGCCCCTGTAACCTCTCCAGTGTGCTCTTCAGAGCTGTATCCTGGTGATTCTGGATCAAGGGGTTTAATAGCCTCGGAACCGCCACTGTAGCAGGCAGTCAATAAAGTGTGCATTTTACCCAGGACGAGGCAGCAGGCTGGCTGACATGCTCCACATACCTCTGGATTCCTTACCCGTTTGCCACATGACCCCCTCCCCCCACCTCTGCTCCTGAATGCCCACGGATTCTGCTCCCCCCATGTGGGCCCTTTGCTGCTTTGCCCCTCCAATAGCTAGCAACCCTCACAGGTTCCAGCAGTAACTGGAGCTGTGAGGTCATTTCCTGGCCGCTCTTTCCATTTCGCCTTCTCCATCATAGTGATTTTGGATCTGCCATCCACTCTGTGTGGCTCCAAGGTGACCTTCAGAGTAGAAGGCACTTCTCCTTGCTGCCACCTGATTAGCTTTGCTGTCTGTATATCAAGTGGATTGGTTGCTGGCTTCTGGGATTCACCGTGATGTGCCGGGCTGACTGTGACTCTGGGGCTGGCTGCCACAGCGCTGCTGGAGGGACGACTCCTGAGTTGTGTGAATGAGGAACCCTGAGAGCATCTGGCCCATCAGATGGATAGATCGGTGCAGGTGACAGGAGTCCAGGAGCAGGGGCTGTTTGTCCAAAGGCAGAGTCAGAGAGGGGACCCAGCTGCTCTCTTCCCTTATCCGGAGAGATGCTGGACCCCTCTGTAGACCCCCACCGGAACCACTTTCTTCCACGATTTCTCCCAGAATGTGGGGCCTTCTGAAGACAGTAACACTGTAAGCACATTGTCATCTCAAAGAAAGCAGGCAGAGTGAGAAGAATGTCAAATTCATGCTGCTGGGAGGAAGGGGATTTGGAAAGGGACAGATGGTATCCGGGGCTTTTGCGGAGGGCACTCTGGCTCACATCTGGGAAGCTTGACAAACCGCTAAGCCCTGACACTGCTTAGGCAAACATGTATTTTCAATTGTACTTAGGTTTTCATCTTGTGATTAATGATGTCTTTGGAGGAAAAACTAGATCATGTAATAGATTCCTGGTAGGGAACATAATTGTGAAAGGAGCCAGTCTCGGGGGGACGCCCCACACCCCAAGGAGCACCTCACCGGCTTCTGATCTGCTAATTACTCTCCCTCAAGGAACCCACTCACGTAGTGTGAGCTGATGGGACAAATGACTCGGAACAATCTCGCCTTTGGTACCGTCACACTAGCTGTTGTGATTGGGGACTGATGGGAGAGGTCTAGCCCTCGGGCCAGAACGACACCGGAAGACAGCCTGGGCCCAGGATCCCCCTGGCAAAACTGAGTGGATGAGAGGGATGGAGGCTCATGCCACCCACACGGTGGTCTCTATTTCTTTAGGATGGATTGGCTAATGTCGAGTGCTCTGTAGACTGTCCCCTCTGCCACCCTAGCACATCTGGGCAGTTTCCTGTGTAGCTGGCTGCATGAGGTAACTTCTTAAGCTTGCTTGGCCCATGAGGCCATTTCAGGAGGGGTTCTGACCCCTCTACCCATCTCAAGGTCATGGCAGTAGGAAGGACCAACTTAAAACCATGCCTGTGGAATTTCAAACTAAGATTGGCTGCCTGTAAGGAACCTCATGCGCATCACGCCTGACGGGGGATTCACCCTGAACAACTCCAGGACGGATGGAGTTGTGAGTGACTGCCGTGGTTCCTATCTCATGGTCCTGGTGGATGTGTCATTGATAAGGCTATCTGGAGGGTTTTGCAATTCCATCCTCTGGTGAGATGTTCCTGTCCCGTGGCCATGCCAGTGAAGGAGCTAATGGCAGGGAGCATGCTCTCCCCAGCAAGTGACATGGCTCTTAGGAATTAAATACACCTACAAAGTTCACCTGGTGGCGTTTAGGTTGGGAACAAACACAATCACACCTGGGCCTTCAGTACATTTTCTTTACTGTCCCTCAGCCAGGCCAGGCTATGTCGCCACAATCCATAGACAGAGTAGAGCACGCACCACAGTCTATGCTGTGACTGAGTCCCCCAGTGTCAGCCCTACCCCCCCAAAACAGGAAGGAGTGAAGCAGTCTGGGCAGCTCCAAGCCGATCATCTGTCTTGGTTTGCTTCTGGGTTATGAAAAGCCTTTAAACACCCTTCTCAGATTAAGGTTTGCTTTCTCCTCATTTCCATCACACTTCCTAAGGCTTGTCATTACAGGCTGGCTAAAATGAGTGGAATGT